AGCAGAATGTGGACACCTATCTTGAAAAAGCTTTGTTTTTTGCACTGAATGAACTTTACTAAACTACTTAAAGAACTGAAATTCCAGATGGGATGGACCGCCGTTGGCACGGAATCTGGGACAGTGTTTGACGACATCGATCTCTCTGAGAAGGTTCTCTCAAGCCAAAGCGGTGAAAATGTAGTAGGGGGGGCATTCTATCTAATTGAAGTGTAGTTGCGGAAAGGCACTCATATCTTGTCGTATCTTCCACTAAGACCATGGTCTACGACAGAACGCCACACTTGTTACCCTTGTCATATTATTCTATGGCGAAAATGGCTGCCACCTTGCTGACTCTTCACTTTCACCAACCCTTCTTGCGATTGCCATGCAAGCCCTCGGAGAAAGGGCCTTTCAGGTATCCGATTTTGTATGGAATCCCGGGTTGGTATCCCTATCTAATCATACACTCAGAGCCTGTGCTCTGAATGTTGATTAGATATGACCGCCCTTCCGCAACTCCACTTCGATTAGATATTGCCACTTTGATTAGATATTATGAGTGTCCCCCAAACTACATTTTCACCAGCCAAAGCTTTTTCAATTTTTCGTTCGAGCTCAATTGTTATCCTTCCCTTGTTGCACACATTATTAAGGGAATCCGACAGTCAATAATCGCATCAAAATTATAGGCATGGGCCGACTACGATGAAAAAGTCGGTGAGGCGACGGAGATCGGTGACTTTGAAGTACGATTCGTTCACGCTAAGCAGAAGTAATAAGATAACGCGGTGCTTCATTGCTTTTCAGTTTGTTTTGCTTTTTTTCTTTGCAACCCACTTTTTAGCGATTCTGCCATTTTCATGCGTGTTTAAGGTTCTCCATTTGTAGGGTCTTATTGTTTACTTGTAATGTTTATAGTCTTTTTTCAAACTTGCATTGAGCATTCCTTTACTGTGCACTGTTAACCCCGTGTTTGTAATTAAATGTTTACGCTATTCATTCGGAAATTCGTTGAAAGGAGTGCAATCTGAGACCGTGTGCTACGCTGTT